ATATTCGATTTACAAAATTAATTTTTAAATCGATTGGCGGAAACGAGATAGGATCATACATACCTCCAGCCATAATTTAAACGAACAGAGTCGACACTCACAATGACAAATTTTCTGTTATAGATCTTTTAAGCTTTTCTCACTCAAAACCTGATGGTGCAAATAAAATGAAGAGGAGCAAGCTTAGGGACCAAAACAGCAAACATCACATCTAATTTATAGTACTCTGCCCATCACAGAGTTCAATGGATGTGACCACATTATGGAATGTTACTAAATTCATGTGTTGAACTTAGACACTATATGAACCATTTTCTGAAAATTATTTCTCTTAAAAACACCAAAGAATTCCAACAGTTATTGAAATTAATATAGAGTTTTAATTAATTTGGGAATTCTAAAGAAATAAATTTAATTCTCATTATTAACTAATTTGGGAATCTTAAAGAAAAAATCCCAACAGGATATAATTTTAAATATTTTCTAAGAATTTAGACTTTGAATACCCCTAAGATTTTAATATCATTTTGATGTATTTTTGAAACCTTGGTTCCAATGCTCCTTGTGAATCGGAATCTTTAGTGCTAATTCATTGAGATTTAATTTTGTATAAATTTTAATCTTTAAAAAATATTTGATTATTAAATAAATAAATTTACATGATTTATAATTTTATTTATTTCAGTATTTTTTGACATGTATAAATTTTTACTATTTTTTGGACAAAAAAAGTGGTCATTAATATTTTTTATAAATCGTGTAGCGCGTTAAGAAAAAGGAGAAAATATGAGCTCAGTTGATAGGGGGAAATATAATTTTTTGATTTTTTTTTTCTTACAATGAAATAAATCTTGCACAAAAATAAAGAGCAAGTGATAAATCATAAACAAAATTCATCATCTGGCATGAATCTTGAAGCATAACTTAAATCACAAGATTACTTAGAGCTAGGGAAGTTCAAACATCACTTGAAACTCATGTATAACTCTAATTTCTGCAAACTTATAGTCAAATTGACCGACTCGACGGGGATAGGTAGACCCAACGATGCTGAGATTTAGCCTATACAAGTTAAATCAGACACATATCAAGTCGTTAAAACTATTTTGGAAACTTCAAGTTCACAATTGAAAGATAAAACCAATTTCAAATCTAACAAGTTGATGTTCAAATCGATCGTTAGCGAGAGAGATCCAATAAGCCTAAAATCACTCAATTTTGATATCATTAAAATACTTAAATGTCCACCAAAAATTGCATGATCGAGTGGAATGGCTCAAATTTCTTATTGATTTGTAGGGAGGCCTTTCTTAGATTTTATAAATAAAGTCCCATCCCTTTTATAAAAAATTCCCAAGCCTTGAACTAGAAGAAGAGTTAGACCTAAAGCTGGTTCACGACATAGGAGTTGAATTTCGGTGATGCTTTAGATTGAAGAGCTGACAAAATGTTTCTGATCCTGTAGCCGCAAAAGATCATCGATCATCACTCGTCTACCATCATCGAACACTGTTGGCCAACCCTTGCTCACTGCAGTGAAGCCCGTGCATAGTCCAAGACGTGTGTTGTAGAGTAATGAAACATTATGTAGGGTAGTCATCAATGTTTTTAAGTAACTAAACATCTTACGAAGTAGTGTATCGTTATTGAGCACAACGTTGTGACGCAAAATGGAGACAATATACCAAGCTCCCGACAACTAATCCCAACTGTGACTGCTCCTGGCAGCTATGAAATGATTCTTTTTGCCTGCGACATTGCACTTGAAGAAACTGTGTAGTTCCTTCTCACCTGTGGGACAAGGGTCAAGACGTGTAATCACTAACTCATAGTCGACCATTTCCGCTAGGTTAGGCCTCATGATTTTTTTCCTTTTCGATTATTTACATAAAAATTTATGGTGTCTCAACCCGTCACATTAATTACTAAAATGTCTGCATGGCTTTTGCAGTATCAAGACACAAAATAATCATTATACTGTCGTAAATCTTTTGATACTTCACGACAAAATGCCCTACAATATTTATGTAATTGCAATCATAACAAATATCCCAAAATCATTCAAAAAGTATTCATGTGTGCGTGCACATAAATAATTTATATTTTCTTATTTTTTATCTCTTTTTTAAATAAAAGTATGTATGTGTGTGTTGAAAGATTCTGCATCTCAGTTAGCGTGGGCCCGTCTCTCTTTTCCGGACTGCCCCACATCCGAGCCTTTGACGCGGTGGAAAGGGCCTAAATGTTGTGACTCAATGGGTTGGTGATTGGGCCGAAAAGGCCGGCAGGCCGTGGCTATGGCCGCAGCAATTGCCCGCAGTGCTGAACTGTGTAAATAAATACAACAAAATATAGGCAAAATAATAAAATTGAAATTTACTTAAATCTACCAAATTCTAAATATATTAAAAATAAATTTAAAAATATAATAATTTTACACTTTATTTTGACCGAAGATAAATATATAAAATTTTATTAAGGAATTATAACGCATTCTTTTGCAACAAACCAAACTAATCTGATATTTTTCTCTTTGAGCGATGTGAACGTGTTAAAGATGGCTGCATCGCCTAACTCGCATTTAACACCATTAAATGCTAATTATTGCACATTAATTCTCATGCCTTCGAAAAAGACATTCTGCTTTACGAAGAGAGTATCATTATATATAAAAGCTATTAGGCAAGAATATAATTAGACTCCAAAAATATCGCAATTTTACGTGAATTTTACGATACCTTCACAGTTACGAAAAATTATTTTAGACGGACATCACATGTAGAAATGCATGCGTTGTCTGATCTTCACTGTCTTCACTGTTTATCATAGTATTTTAAAAAAAAAAAATTGGTCCCACCAAAATACATCTTATTTGTGATCAACGGTAGAGATCGGACAGCGCATGCATTTCTGCATGCGGCTTCCGTGAATAATTTTTCAATAGTCACACGTCTTGTTGTTTCTCCTCCTTGAACCTAAATGTTCGGGACGTTGACGTACATACCACCTAATTTTTATTTATTACGTATCTAATATCTGAATTTTATTTTACGATTATACTGCCTAAATCTTTTTTATTACATAATAAGATGTCACCATTTGGCTTTTTATATTTGAAATACACATTTGCATGCATAGGTAAGTATACGTGACATGTATGTAAAAATTGAAATTTAGATAATTAATACATAAATAGATAGGAATTGAGTGGGTTGTATGTAAATCTTCAAAAAAAATTAAATTAAAGCAGAAGAAAAATAATTAGAAATCAATGGATATAATTTTATATATTTTTAACAATTTAGACTTTGAATGCCCCCAAAATTCTAATATGCTTTTAATGTATTTTTTATGGGGCATTTACATACATACCACTCAATTCTCATGTATTTACATATTCAGCAACTAAATTTTAATTTTTACATTAATGTCACATTAAAATTATAATTATTTTAATTTTTCAAAAGTGAAACACGATGAAAGATATAAGTGGTATAAATGAAAAAAAAAGTAAAGTATAAGTCTTAGATATGTAAATACATACGAATGAGGTGCTATGTATGTAAATGCCCATTTTTATTGATATTTTTCATTTAGAAATGTAATAATAGTCAAGAGTGGAACCAACACATTTTTTTTAAAGTAGGAAAATTTATTATATAAAAAAATAATAATTTTTAAGAAAATAAAATAGAGCGGCGCATAATTTAAATAAAATAAAATAAAATTAATTTAATATTAAATTACTTTTTTTTATATTATTAATTAAAATATAATTTAAAATAGTTTCAAATTTTTGCAATGAAACTTCACCTTAAATATAGTTTAATGAAATTATAAGTTTCATGTAAAGTTCACAATAATTAAAAAAAATTATTTAAAAAATAATAAATAAATCTACATCTTCAAGCATACTATAATTTTATTTCATATTTCTTATCACAAAAAAAATAATTATTATAATTTTTTTTAAAAAAAATTCACAACTCATGCAACTCCGAACTTCAACCTCCACAATCTACGAAAATTATCACAGCTTATGCAGCTCCCAAGGCCCGCCTCCATGACTTACGGACATTATGACAACTCACACAGCTTCCAACTCTGGCCTCTGTAGCATACATATATTATCACAACTCACACAACTCCCAACTCCGACTTATATAACATATGAATACTATCACAACTCAAGTAGCTCTCAACTTCGAGCTCTGTTGTAAATAGATGTTATCACATCTCATGCAGCTCCTAACTTGGGTTTCTACGACCTACAAACGTTATCACATCTCATGCAACTCATAATTTAAGTCTTTACGACCTATAAACGTTTTTGCAATTCACTACTATGACATGTGACCAACTACGGTTTACATGGATCACAACTCTTGCAAATCTTTACTATGGTCTTTGTGGTCAGCCGACACTCCTAAAGAGCCTATATACGACCTATATGCCTAGCTATTATCACGGCTTGTAACTACAATCTTTATGACAATTTAACGTTACAATCACTGTTTACAACATTCATGACGTGTCATTGCCTTCATAACAATCAATTATGGCTTTTGCGTCCAATTAAAACTATTATTAAAGAACTAATGTTATACATCAACATTATAATTCAATCTTCTATAGCTCAAGTGAGCCAATGTACTTATGATTACATAGTGAATTATTTTAACTGATTTTTGTGTTTTTTTTTTCACTTTCTATAACTTTCTAAAAAAAACTCCAAAAAGTGTCTCACCTTTCTACTTATTATTTGTTTGTCTTTATATTGGATCTTCACCCAATTTAAGATGTATCATTGGGAATCTTTCAACACACATTAGAAGTAGTGCGCCATGAAAGTAAATACCCCAAAATTGTAAAAGAAAGAATTTAGAATCTAACAAATTCTGTCTAAAGTAACAGCCTACAATGGTACTTGATTTCCGCTCACGCTTTTCCTACTTTCCCCTCCATTAATGCTCCAATGCGCACACCACATTTAAATCACCTGCCACAGCAAGAGAAAGAGCACTGAAAGCTTCTCTCTAGCCTCGCTATAAGTAACAGAGCTATGAGCCCTCCTTTGTTCCCATCGAGGAGAAAACGAAGACGATGGAGAGAAGATTGAGAGTGAGCGAGTTGGCGCTGAGGCTGGCGGCGTTAGGTTTTGCAGTGACGGCGTCAGCTCTGGTTGGAGGTGACAGTCAAGTGAGGACGTTCTTTTCTATGGAGAAGAAGGCAAAGTTTACTGACATGAAGACTTTGCTGTAAGATTCATGAAACCCTAAAAGGGATGATTCAAAGTTCGCATCTTTGGTTAATATTCATGAGAAATGTGTGATTTTGGTTGCTTTTTTTGTCCTTCTTTATCAGGTTTTTGGTGGCTGCTAATGGGATAGCAGCTGGGTATAACTTGCTGCAGGTGGTGCGTTGCTTTGTGGGGATGATGAAGGGGAGTGTTTTGTTTGGGAAGGGCTTGGCTTTGGTTGTGTTTTCCTGTGATCAGGTGAAGAAAAATATGAAATATGTATATTTTTTTTGTTTAATATTTTAAATTTTCTTCAGCAATTTTCATTTATTGCGATTTTCATGAGTGCTTTCTTGGCCGTGAATTATAAATAAGACATTTATATGTCATCATCTAGGGGTGGAACTAACATTATTTTTTAGGGCGGGCAAAATCATCAAATGACTAACTTTTTGTAAGTCTGGGACTAACAAATATACATCTAGGGTGGCAAAATTACTAAATTGTCTGGGCTACATGAGATAAAAATATTAACTTTTTACTATGTATATAAAGAAATCTCAAATTAGGAGAAGAGTAATTGCCCATCCTAGACATAATCTGATTTCGCCTCTCATCAACATCATCATCATTATTGCTAATCTTATACCAATTATATTTGGTTGGCTTATAAATCTTCACTCTCCCCATTATTTTCTACTGGCGTTGCTTAAGGTGCTATAAAAATTGTTGATTATTGATGTTAAATTGATACAAAACTTTAGAACATTTTTTGTTATGTGCTGAAAAATAAACAAACTAGATAATGATTAAAACTTTGCATCTAAGAACTGTCAATTATTGTTACATCTACCAAGATGGAGGCTTAAAGGATGGAATATTAATCTCATGTTAATTGTAATTCTAGAAGATGTTGTGGAATTCAAGCAACTATGGATGTATTAGAACTAATCTCTGAAAAACATAAAATCTGTGTCTAATGACATCTTATTATGAGTTTTTTGTCCCTATTATTCATATTCTTCACAATATGATACAAAAGCATTTGGTCCTAACCCCCCAAGGTTGAGGTGATAGGAAAGATTGGGTTAAGTTAGCCGGGTTTGTTTGATCGATTAAGTTTGGGCTAGTGAAACTTGTTATTTTTCTCGAAGCTGCAAATCTTGTTCTTCAACTATGTCTTGGTTTTTCATCCAAAAATTTTACCCCCTTTAGTTAGTATTCGAAAAATTTAGTACACAATGGTGAATTATTCGTAATTTTGTTGGAAGAATTTGATGTACGAATGGTGACCAATTTTTTTTAACTGTATGAAATGTAAAATTTAAATCATTTAAGATTCTATTTGTATGTTGTACTTACTCATTTACTATGTGGACCTTACTATTTTCCTATTTTTGCTCATATTGTATTTAATGAATTAATGTAGCGTTGCAAATAAACATGTGCAATATTTCCTATTACATGCTTTCTTCTACTTTACATTAAAGTTCATTGTGTGGTTGATAAAGTGCAACTTTATAAATGATGAGATTACCAAACCTATTTTTGATACTAACAGCTAGCAAGCTCAACCAATTACAGCTGCTTGTGTTTTCTCAAGTAAGCTAACTCAACAAAAAAGTGAAAAACATTTTCTTGGATAGGGGAGGTGTATGTAAAAATTTAAGTTTAGGTGCAAGATATGTAAATACATAAGAATTGAATGATATGCATATATGTAAATCTTGCTAAAAAACATCCAAAAACCCCCAATACAAATGTGGATATATCTGAAACCTCAACATGATTAACTACGGAGTCTGCACCGAATATGCTTACCCAATTACTCAAAATGTTTCAAAATTGGAAGGTGATGGCTTACATGGCATTAGCGGCGATGGCGGCGGCGGTACAATCGGGGGTGATCGTAATGTTCGGCCAGCCGGAGTTTCAGTGGATGAAGATCTGCAACCTGTACAGAAGGTTTTGTATGCAGGCGGGGGAGGGATTGGCTTGTGCTTTTGTAGCTTGCTTGGCCATGATTATCATTTCCTGCATATCTGCGTTCAACTTTTTCAGGCTTTATGGGATTAGCAGAGGATTTAAGAACAGCAATGGAAGCTGGTAGTCTTTATGGCATTTTCTGAGTTGAGAGCCTGAGTTTATATTAGACTGTATAGTGGTTTTTTACTTGCGATAAATGTCTGTTTACTGTGGTATAATGAAGTCGACGAAGGCTGACTTAGCTTTAATTTTCGTGTTGACTTGTGAGCTTGGTAGGGATGATGATGTTGTATTGTGTATGGAAACAAAGTCGGAAGGATGGTTTATGGAGTTCAGATCACTTGTGCATTTTAGTACATATATATACCATTTTGTTATATTTTGAGGTGAAATGATAAGAAAATGTTTGATGTCTTGGAAATTATTATTATTATTATTTGCGATGATGGCAGCTGTTGCTAGCAATGCTGTGGTGGTTAGGGTTGTAATTGAGCCCAGAATGTCATGGATTGAACTTAGTTTGGTTGGATGATCAGTTGTTCGTGTTCAAATTGAGCTTAGCCAAAATTTCACGTGTATTTTTATATTTGGCGTGGTTAAACTTTTTAATGACCATACACTTGCGTTGAAACAGACTTGATTATATTAATTGGACTAGTTAAGAATTATAATTAGCATTTAATTTTCATATAATATTAAAAATTTGATTTATACTTGGTTTTTCATGAATGACTTAATCAAACTAAAAATTTGAATAAGTGCTTGTTTTTTTATATAAAGAGTTATTAACAAATAATTTTATAAATCTAAATAAATAAGTAATTGAATAAATTTCAAATTAGCATGTAACTAGTTTATATGAAATAAATATTGATGTGTTCCGCAAGATCCGGTGTGGTACATTAATAAATTAGCATTTTAGTATTGAACAGAAACCTAACACACACTCAAATACTTAAAGAGAGAAGTAGGAGGGGAAAATTAGAATTTTTACATGGAAACCCAGAAAAAAGAAAAAAACAACAGCGCAAAAGCCCAGTAGAAATGATCCACTAGATAATTTTGAGTACATGGATTCATTCTTCTCCTAAATTAGAGAAGATGAAACTACAAAGATGATTATTGTAAATGTACAACAGTAGTTCATTGATAATAGTCGTAGTATAAATGTAATGAATATAGTTATTGATGATAGTAGACAATAAAGGTCATAGTCAATTGTTATAAAGACAATGATTTATCGTGAATGTTGTAGACGATGGTTGTAACACCGATTTGTCATATAGGCAACAATTGAAAGTCATGTAGTATTTGGCCATGTGGTTCGCAAATGGTTGCTTCAAGAACATCGATTGACAATAGAGGTCGAAGTAGGAAACTTCCAAGGTTGTGAGCTACATAGGTTGCAGTTGGTCATATGGGCTATAGTGTTGAGCTGTGATGATGTCCGTAGACTGCAAGTGCCAGAATCGGGAGTTGCACGAGCTGTAAACCACTTAGGTCGTAGTGGTTAGCTATGATAATGTATGTAGATCGAGGGGTCCGGAGTAGGGAGCTACAATAACTATGAAACACGTAAGTTGTAGCTCGTCACAAAAGTCGTAATGGTGAGTTGTGATGATGTCCGTAGACCACGGGAGCCGGATTCAGAAGCTGCACGAGCTGTGAACCACTTAGGCAGTAGTTGGTCACGTAGGCCGTAATAGTGAGTTAAGATGACATTTATAGGCTATGAGGGTTGGAGTCGGGGGATGCACGAGTTGTGAACCAAGTAGGGTGTTGGTCACGTAGGCCATAATGATAAGCTGTGAAGACGTTCGCAAGAGGGCAGAGTTAGGAGCTGCACGTGTTGTGGACGTAGTCGGTCACGTAGGTCATAGTAGTAAATTATGATGACGTCTGTAGGTCGTGTGGGCCGACAACGAGAGATACATGAGTCATGGACAATCTGGGTCATGGTGGTGGGTTCTGAGGATATAGATATAGGAGTTCGAAGAAAGTTATCATATTTGAGATGCATTGTTACACCATTTTTTGAAAGGCATTGTTGCCCCGTATAAGGGGTGGGTTATTGCATTATCTTAAGAGGGTTACATCGTCTTCGAGTTGTGTCATTACACTATATTCAGGGTGTCTTGTTACATCGTCTTCAGGTGGCATCATTGTTCCGTATGTGAGGTGCGTTGTTATACCGTCTTCAGGAGGAGTCGTTGTCAGTGTGTGGGGTGTGTTGTTGATGTGTAAAGAAAATGTGCTTCTTTATGTTCTATTTTCAATCATTTTATGTTAGTTTTACATGTTTTGGAAAGTATTTGTTTGTGTTTTGCAAGATTCAGGAAAGAGAAGTCATTAGAGCCAAAGAAAATCTAGAAAATCACTTTAAGTGCGGACTGTAGAAAGTAGGCGCCAAGATGCAGAAAGTAAGTGCCAATATTGTCTGGGCACCATGATGTAGAAAGTAGGCGCCACAAGCGCCTGGGCACTCAGAAACAATGCATAGACTTGCCCCGTATGAGTGAACTATGGTATCCTCGAGTTTTTTGACCCTTATATAAAAAAATAAAGGATACATTGAGAATGAGAGAGTTCTCTCTACGTGTGAGAAATCATGAGAGAAGAGCCCATCTTTTTAAATGTTATAGGCTCCCTATTTATAGGAGAAAGAGGGACAAAGTCTAAAAGTCCATGCTTGCCCTACTTTAATGAGAGAGTTACATGTCTTTATAGTGTTTTTTTTATAGTCTCCGCTTTAATAGGAGAATTACAAGTTTTTATGATATATTTTTATAATTTACACTTTATAGGAGAATTACAAGTCTTATGTTGCCTTTTTATAATCATAATTGATTTTTAACACATTTTTATCATCTAACTTTTTATCTGGATAGTTAGATTGTCTCTAGATTCATGCATATAATTTTGTGGTATACACATTCTATTAATTTAACTTCCAAAAAGACACCAACCCAACAGTGCTCCTACACGAAATACTTGCAAAATTTTTGATGAAATTCCAATTGTTATACCAAAAGTCATTTCGTTGTTTAAGAGTTTAGTTTCATTATAATTAAGAGATTTTATAATTGACAACATTTAACTAATATACATACATCCTCATTACTTTTCTTAATCAAGAATCATCCACCAAATAGATATTTATATCTTCAAACTGGTGTAATGCTCCAGCATCATTTGTACCCACTAGAACTCCTATCCATCGAAATATTGCTCACTTTAGTATAATAGTCTGATGATTCTATCACATTGGTCTAACTTCCCAGAAGGTCACCTGTCGCTAGAGTCTTCCCACACAAGAATACTTAATTTTGGAGTATTTGATAAAATTTCAATTTTTACACAAATTATATCTCAATATCAAAGAGTTCAACTTCATTCTACTTAAAGATATTTCATAACATTTAAATCGGGTGTGACCATAATAACATTAGTGCATCAAATCTTATCAAAACTCCACAGTTATCCGTGGGCTACTACTATGCAAGCTACATTGGCCTAGTATTTGAGAACATTATCTTTCAACAAAGTAGTCCTAAATTCAAAGGATTGCTTATGTGAGGTGTGTGTGCTTGTGTCTGGAAAAAAAAAAGAAGCATTCTTGGATTAGGATAGTACTAAAATATATAATCATTTGAGAAATTTTCGTGTTGCACTTGCCCTCTCAACTCAGTGACTACCTAAAAGTGTCTCAGTTGACAAAATAAATTCTTCAAAGAGAGTACTATTAACAAATTCAATTATATTTGAGCAAGTAGTAATATTTGTAAATTAGAGGATTCTTATTGAGTTCAGTTTGTAAACTGAGGAGTATTTTTTGGGGCTGCTCAGTCATTTTCGGCATGGCTAGAATCCTGTCAATTAATTTGGAGAGACGAGCCTCCGCCAACCAAGCTCCACTGTTCAGCTCACTGAGTAGTACTTCAAGTGATTACTATTTTGGAGGATAATTCAAAGCCAGTTGAAACGCTAGGAGACTTAGCTCGGAAAGAAAAAAAATTTAAGAAAAAAAGAAAAAATCTTTCAGGCGACAAATTCAGCGGTAACTTGCATCAACCCTACGCCAAGGATTTTCAATGCAGAGGAGTTCCGACCGTGCAGTTCCCGCTAAGCGCCAAAGACTAAAAGCTGAAACGTGTAACGTTGGTTGTCTGCCATCCTCACATTACCTGCGGTCAAAATTCGTTCGCTAGCTGCGACGTGCCGTCCCCTCACAAATCCATTTCCGCCCACTTCACATTTCTGGCTCCACAACTATTAATTAAAATTTTAATGCCATAAATTTGGATCAAAAATCATGATTTAAATTTTTTATATAGATTATAATCAATAAATTTGTTTTAAAACATAATTTCTTTGTAACAAAAAATTTAATAAACTCGCAGAAATTTCAAATGACATGAACATATGAATTACATAAATAAAATGATACAAAAAAACATTCACTCAATTTTTCGTAATGTTGTTGAAGACCTTATAATTGCTAAATTCATTATAAATTGATTGTTTTAGATATACAAATATAGATTCGATATTTCACTTTGGAACAGTAACTATTAATTTGGTAAATATGTAAGAACTATGAATTCAATTGATTGTTTCACATAAAACTAGCATTGTCCCTATCTCCACTTACAATAACAGCTCCAACAGACTCCATTCTCGAATCATCGAATAATAGTAATTCAAAGAAGGAGCTCAAACCAAATTGAGCACTATCTCCATTCAAACTATTCCCGATTCATTTAAAACCTTCTTATACGCAATTGGAAATCATATGACATAATCGGACCACGAGGTGTGGTCCATAGTCAAGCCGGCCAACCGGTCGAGCCGAACCGGATTTTCCTTTCCTCCCAACAATCTGGCCGGATTCCCCACCGCCGTTGTCCTCGCCGGCACATCCTTGAGCACCACCGATCCCGCACCCACTTTCGCCCCCTTACCAATTCTCACGTTACCGAGGATCTGCGTCCCGGCTCCGACCAGAACACCATCCTCGATCTTTGGGTGCCGATCGCCGGTATCCTTCCCAGTGCCCCCCAAAGTCACGTTATGTAAGATCGAGACATCATCGCCGACCACCGCCGTCTCTCCGATCACCAATCCGGTGGCGTGATCAAGGAGTAATCCGGCACCGATTCGGGCCGCAGGGTGAATATCCACCGCAAAAACCTCCGACGACCGACTCTGGATCATCAACGCCGCCGCACGCCGACCAGTATTCCAAAGCCGGTGGGCTACACGATGCGCCTGGCAGGCGAGGAAACCCTTGTAGTAGAGGAAACAGTGCGCCATCTTGGAGCACGCCGGATCCCGATCGCGCGCCGCGAGAAGGTCGGCGCGCACAGCACACATGATAGATTGATCATCGATTAGGGCTTGAGCGAAGAGATCGCGAAGATCGGAAGCAGGTATGAGGTTAGGAATGCAGAGCTTTCTAGCAAGGAGGTCCGCGAGGGCAGATTCGAGGGAATCGTGACAGAGGATGAGATCGGAAAGGTACCTTGAGAGTATGGGCTCGTCGTCAGCATCGGAGAGGGCTTCGGCCCTTATCTGTGCCCATACTTCGTCTGCATCCTCGCCGGAGTCTCCAGCTGGGAAAGGTAGGTCGTCCGAAGGGCAGGCGAGATCCGGGAATGCTGGCCAGTCGATTAGGTTTTCATCGATCCGCGAATGGGAGTGTGTGAATGAGAGAGGATTGATCGACGCGGAGTTGCTTCGGCAGCACTCGACGCAGGCGGCCATGTGTCGTGGGGGATTACGGGGAGCCGCCGGCCGGAGAGAATCGGTGATCGCCGGACGTGAGAGGAGAAATGTGGACATAAAATTTTAGGGTAATGGGGGGCGGCTTTCGAACTGGAGCAGAGAATGGAAAAGAGGTCGCTCTATTTATACGGTTTAGGATCTCATTAGCGTAAACTAAAGCCAAGAGAGGAAACTTCCCGCAGAATTGTAATTTAAAATTGCATTTTTACACTTATTGAACAAAACTATTCTTCTATTGGAAATAAATTTATAACAAAACACTAATAAAATTGGTTAGATATATAATAGGAAAATTAACCTACATGTCATACAATTCTTTTGTATTTATATTTCTACAATTTAAATTTTAATATTTATATTTATGATGTTTTGAAAATTCGCCCAGATAACATATCTTAAGGTGTGTTTTAGACAGCTTGTGCTTATCTAGATAAGCAACTTACCTTGAAACGCGTCCCATTGACCACAACTCATCGAGTGCTCGACATGCGATACACATTTAGTCTAAAAACCCAGCTGCATTTTAAGATAAGCTGTCGAAATGTGTTTTCCAAATGGTGAGACGACATTTTTAAAACGCCGCCCGTACTTATAAACAGACACTTAATTTTTCAGAATAAATTTATCCACAATTTATAAAAAAAATGAAATTATATAATTTTTTTAAAAAAATAATATTGTGACAAATTTCGGCTCTTTGTGTCGGCTTTGAATTTCACGGCATGTCATCACAGACGTCACAGCAGTTCCTGAACTTTCCCTCAGTAGAGATCCTATGCAACGCATTCTTTGTAAAAGAAAACTAAAACTCATACTAACCGTTAATTTAATATTGTTATTTTTATGTTGTCATCCTGATGAAAATCAAGGGTCTTGTGAGTTCTTTACTTTGTTCAAGAGTCCCACCATTTCACACTAACAGCATATGTAGTCAAACTTATTTGCGCCACTAATAATTACTCTTAAAATAAATAGTGAAGCTTATGTGAAATTCCCAAAATGTCCTGCTCGTTTTTAATACTTGCATGTTATTCCATCATAAAAAATATTCAATTTAAATTATTAAAATATTTAATTTTTCTATCACCGGATCAATTGCTAATTCAATTTTTTAAAGATTAGAAATAAAGTAAGCAATATTAATTTAGTATTGATGCGTGCCAGAAAATTCGCGGCGATAAAATAACGGATTATCAGCTTAGCGTTGTACAAGAATTTTGCACACACTCAGATGAAAAAGAAAAAAAAATAGTGACTTGTCAGAAGTTTTTGCATGGAAAGTCCGTAAAGTGAAAAACCACGGGGTCTGGCCCGGTTGCGAAATCTACTATTTATTGATGATTGCAGAAATCTCTTATCACAGAAGAGAAATGATAACTATATTTTTCAGATTACGACACTGACTGACAATGTCTAGTTGATGATGATCGATGACGGTTGGTGGATGTCGACGGCGATCAGTGATGATCTTCGACGGTCGACAATGGTCGACTGCGATCAATGGTGGTCGATGACGGAGGTTGGCAGTGGGCGCCG